CGTGAGGGACAGAACACTGCCAGCTGTAGGAGCTCTGGTAGCAGGGGGTGTGGACCATGTAGGGAACCAGACCTTGGGTTTGTTAATGGAAAACCTGAGCCGTCTGCTGGTCCCTGACCTTGGGTACAGTGACTCAGCCTTTGGGAGCCTCCTTTCTTCCCTGCAAACAAGTCTTCAGGGAGAAAGTCAGAGTGCACACACATGGTGGGTCCTGGTAAGCAGCTGCAGTGACCAGCATGGAACTGATACCTTCCTAGCTAGCAGACACAGGATTCAGGAGCAAATACAACCCAGGCGACACCCAGGCAGACATAGGCTGAGGCCAGCGCTGTAACAATACAACACAACACCAAACAGCACAAACTGCACGGGCGTTTACCAGTACTTCAGCAGAGTGCCTACATTACAAAAACAAACACAACACACACCAACACAGTACCAAACGTGACACCATGTCAGGAATTGTACTTAGGCCAGTAAGGGGCGCTCGTGGCATTAAAGGGTGTGGACAGCAGAAGCTGGAAACGTGGGCCTCTGCAGGGAGCATGTTGAGTGAGAACAAGGACCGGGACCTGGAGGAGCTGAGGACAGGCCCCAACCTTGTTCTGTGGAGAGGGAGACCCACCGAGGGCCGTCATGGGGGCTCAGAGGGTTCCCACAGGATCTCACTTTGCTGCTAGGAAACTGAGGCCCACAGAGGGGGGATGCAGAAAGCCTAGGCAGTGCAGGATCCAGCTGGCGGAGGGAGGGTGGGTCACTGTGGCGGGCCGGGGCGAGGGAGCCTCTGCAGCAAGGGGAGGAAGCCGTAAGCAATGACCTCATCCCCCAGGCCTCCGCCCCAGCACACGGTTCCCAACCACAGGCATCGCAGGACAATTCCCTGGTATGCTCGCCACCAGAAGGCACAGGGCGTGCACGTTTGCCTTGTGCTTTTCCGTGCTCCTTACTCTGTGCAGGATTTGAAAAAATTTTTTAAAAAGCTGAGATTACAGAGACAAAAAGCAGCCCCTCACCTGGGCCAGGGCAGAATTTCTTACTACAGAGAAAGTGGGGAGAGTTTGTGCTGACAGTGAGTCTGGGAGTGAAATCGAGCTACCAAAAAAACTTGGTCACACGGGAGCACACATATACCCGTGTATAGCAGGCACACGTAAACACGCGCACAGTGATGTCCTGAGCAGGACCCTGCACACATGTGTGTATACCAGATCTATACACACACACACACACACACACACACACACACACACGTAGCCTCTGGATTTCAGAAACCAGGTTAGGACTCCCTCCCTGGGAAGTCACAACTGGGTCTCAGGGCCTCGCAGACCTCAAAGGCGCCTGTTCCAAGAACAGGGCCAGACCTGGCTGAGATGAGATTCTTGCTAAAATGGCTTTTTCAGGCCCACCAAATATCCCTGCTTCAGCAGAATGCTTAATCCCTCTGAAGCCGCCCTGGGGCTTCCTTAACCCCGGCTGAGATAACAGCTTCCTGGCACCAGAAGCCAGGCGCAGCCCAAGAAGGAAAAACACTGGGTCCCAGGGACACGTCCTCGAGAAGCTGTTTTTCCCCCATCTGCACATCACGCTCTCTGAACCCGCGCAGCGTGCACACTGGGCCCCTGTGGGGCGCCCGCTGCTGTGGTTGGGGCTCTCTTGCTCCTCAGGAGCCACATGTGACAAGAGCGCCTCCTGGTGGCCCATGGGCAGCGGAGGCTGCCTTGCCTTCACTGGCTTTACTCCACCAGCCTTTACTCCTGAAACCCCCCATGTCCACCCTACCTGCTGTCCCCTTGCTGTGTCCAGGGCGCAAAGCCCTAACTACAACTCTTAGTTTTTTTTTATTTTTGTTTTTTGAGACAGGGTCTTGCTACACAGTCCAGGCTGGCCTCAAAATTGTAGTGATCTTCCTGCCTCAGCCTCCCAAGTGTACACCACCATACCCGGTGAGATCCTAACTTACTTCTACCCTCCGATGGTCCTGTGCTTGCCAGCCCCTGAGGACATGAGTGGTGGGATCTCTGCCTGCCTGGCCCCAGAACAGTGTGGCTCCTTCTCACCCTGGGGAAGCCTTCACTGTCCTGCAGGCCCCCACACCTTCCTCCCAGTCTGCCATCATGGGTGAGCCCATGGCTGCCTTATTCCTGCTGTCCCCAGTGCTACCTGTGGCCAGGACCACGGGATAAGTGGCTTGACATGGAGTTCAAACCCACCAGCAGGGAGGAGCAACCTCCCCACACATGGTAACACAGCAGGAAAGGCAGGTCTGAGGCCTTCTCTGACCCCTTCCATTTTACAGGTGGGAAAACTGAGGCCCAGCATCACACAGCAACTTGGGGTGTCCTGGTGGGGCAGCTCTGGTAGTTGGGTTTAAAGGAAGAATGTCCAAACCTAGAAACACCATTTGGGGCAGGCAGGGTGAGCGTGGACACAGTGAGGTCTGCCCCGAGGAGTATGGGGGGATATGAGAAAAACGTGTGTCCCACCCACAGAGCCCCATCCTCACACTGTTGTGAAAAGAGTGGGTTTCTAGGAGGGAGGACACACGGAAGCTGACCTGAAGCCAGCCTTATAAGACACCAGAGAACAGCCAGGTGGTGGCAGGCCGTTAAGCAGCCAGGAGGGAGGGTGAGGGGGAGAGAGAGGTGATGGCAACAAGTCTGGAGGGACTTGTGCCTGAATGCCTGACACTTTCGGGGCCACAGAGAGAAGTTAGAGTTTATCCCAGTATCGCAAGGATCTGGTATGTTCTGGTTTTTGTTTTTGAGTCTCTCCCTGGCTTTTTGTGTGGGAAAGGTGCTTAGCAAGTTGAGAAGGACACAAAGGAGATGAAGGTGGCAGTGTTGCTGCCCTCACAGATAAGAAAGGGCCACTTCTTGAGACACATTTGGAGGGCTGGGACGTTTCACCTAGGGCCAAGAGCTGCTCCACTGACCCTCCCAGGCCCAGGCAGGGAAGCCTCCGCGGGACGCTGAGAGTTGTCTTGGAACTGGCCACCAGGTGGCGCAAGGACCCCAGAGATGCAGGGCTGGGTGGGCGAACACTGTGTTAGAGGTAGGGGCTGTTGGGAGGAGAAGGGCCTGAGTCCCTGGGAGATGGGGGGACAGCCACCTCAGCTAGCACATGAGGAGAAAACAGGCATGATACACACAGCCACAATGGTGAACACATGCAGACACAGTGACATGTGAAAACATATAAACACACATGAATGGCGGTATATATACACTTGCATGTATGTACACATGGTCGCACATAACACATTCCCACACATGTGAGCATACATACGTGCACAAATGTGCACATGGGCACCTCCCAGGGGAATACTCTGGCAGCTTACCCTCACAGCCTGGGAACTACTGGGCACCCTCAGCCCCAGGCCAGGGTCCTCACAGACCTGGTCTCCACAGAGGAACCAGAAAAGGCTTGACCTGCTCCTCTCATAGCAGAAACATCCCCAGATAGAAGTGCTGCGGGGATACCATGGCACACGGGACCTGTGCCCCCCTGAGCAGGAAAGAAAACGATGGCCCTGACTTGGCAAAGATGGCACTGACCCTCTTCCTGGTGAGCATATAAGGCCCCAACAAGATAAGTGGGTGTACTCTGACAGGATAGGAAATGTCAGGACCCTGGAACCAAGAGGGTCATCCTAGGAAAAGAGGTAAGATGCTCGTGACATGCAGGAGAGATGCTGGATAGGATTTGACATCATCCGATCAAAACCACACCGATCTGAGCCTGGATGATAGTTCCCAAACACGAAAACACATTCCTGTGCCCAGCAGCCAGGATGTTCTTTCCAGAAAAGCACAAGAGTGACCTGCCCTTAAAACCAGGCGTCTACAGGTCTTGGGTGTCACCTGTGCAGCACACTCAGCAAAGGGGCAGTGACCACATGTGCTGACAGAGATCCTTCCTGGGCACTCAAAGTCTGTGATCAGGTCAGCTCTGTGAGGTGGGAGGTGGCAAACTGGATTTCCAGCTTGTTCCATCTGGTAATCCCCAAGGATGAGAGGGAGAAGCACACAAAAGAACACAAGCAGAATGATGCTGGCCTTAGCCCTGCCAGGGCCCTGCCTGCCTGCCTGAATCACACTCAGGCAGCTCCCTTGAAGATCCTGTGCTCCCCAGACATGCTGGTTCCCTGCACCCCTTCTCAACAGCCTCACAGCCACCCATGTCAGCTTTGGGTTTCCTACTGGCCCGTGAGCTGCACAGAGCAGAGGTACTTTGTTACCAGTAGTGGTAAGCTATAGGTTAATTCACCCTCGTGGCCTCCATGCCAGAGTGGAGCCCATCCTTGGTTGGATGGGACCGGGACCCAGGGGTCCTTCCTAGGCCCTGTCTCGGGAGCTCACAGCCATCTGGGGGGACAATCAAACCCCACTCTCAGCTGTAGAAGCAGAGGGCCAGGGCAGGGGGAAATTGGGAATTTCAGTCTTCGAATGGCCTGCACACTCCTCGAGGGCCAGGGACACAGTAGAGGGTGGCCTGTCCGAGCCTCACTCACAGGGAGGGGAGTGCCCAGGGCTGTGTGCTGGGGCAAGTATACTCCAGGATGGGGTCCTGCAGGACGACCTGTAAGATGTGATACCAGGCTGGGTGCCTCCTGGGATGTTGGAGGACCCTCCAGGCCATGGCGTGGGTGACAGCATTGGGGCATGCTGCGGTCCATGTGCCAGTGATAACACAAGTGGGAGTCACTTGGCCCCAGGGCACTATCTGCCAACCCCAGTTCCACCATCCTCCTCTCCTCCCTTCCACACCAGCCCAAGAGACCCCCCTCAGAAAGTCCTCCAGAGTCACAAGCTCCAGGCCTCTCCCTCTCCTTGGCTTCCCCATCCGCCACAAGCAGGGCCTGGGTAGCCTGGCAGGCGGGGGGCCGGGGAGGTGCGCACACTGCCAGCCCAGCTCCAGGCTAGGCTGGTGAGAGGCTGGGGCAGCCCTGCTCCAACTCAGGGGAGCTGTGACATCAGCCACAGCCCCGAGTGCCTTCATACCATCCAGAAGAGGGTCCCGGTGGCCAGAGCGGCGTACTGCTCGATGGTGGACAGCACACTGAAGATGAGGCAGGCCAGGACAATAAGGAAGCTGTAAGACAGGAGGTGGTAGAGGTCAGCGTCCCGGCCGCCTGTCCACCTCAAGTCACACCTGAAGACGGCTCCCACCCTGAGGCACCCCCCAGGCATACGATCTCAATGCTGCCAAAACATTGCTGGTGAGTGGACACTCAGATGTGGGGTCCACAGGATGAAGGCTGCCCAGGGACCCTCAAAGCACTGTATTGCACTGCCAGACCCCTGCTGCTGCCTATTGTGTGATTGTGTCCCAACAGGGAAATCCACAGGAATGGAAGGCAGCTGGGGGATCACAGGGTGTGAAGATCTAGAGTCTCCCTTGCTGTGACCACACATTTTGACTCAAATGTGGACGTGTGCACTTCTCCACAAGGGAACCTTGGTGTGTGATTATATCTCAATAAAGCTGCTTTAAACAAACTGCTTCCAGACGAGCCCCTCCTGAATTTAGGAGTTCAGGGCCTTGGCAGGTGCTAGGGACTTAGCAGCCCTGAAGCTCATCAGAGGAAGCAGAGAGAAGGGGCTGGTGCCTAGGCCACCCCATTTGTCATGGGCAGACAAAAAATATTGACACACCACTCAGATCATAGAGGACCCGTGAAGACAAGGAGCATGAACCTTCAGAGCCCCATACCCGCTTCCGCTAGGCCCAGCATCTGTGGGCATGACAGGCCAAAGTGGCCCCATCCCTCCTCCTGCATGTAGGACAGCACAGACCTTCGGCCCAGTGCTTGGAGCCTAGGCCCCTCCCCGCCTTGAGAGCTTGCATCGTCAGTGGCTTTCAGCCTTATCCCCACCCTGCACAGCTTCCTCACAGCAGCAAGGACTCTCCAGCACCTCCTGATACCCTGCTTTCCACTGGCTCAGGCCCACTAGGAATGCATCCCTCCCACCTGTCCCGTCTCTCCACACACACAACCTACCTCACCTCTCAGAGGCCACATACAGGCTGCCACCACAGCCACAGATTCCTGGAGAGTCAGGGCTCTCCCATAAGCCCCGTGGGTGGAGCCATCCCTTCTTGGCCTCTGCAGCCTACCTAAAGACCCTTGGGGACTGACTGAAGCCAAGGCCTTGCTCAGGCCCCCTCCCAAATTCCTTGGGTCCCACTGGCTACACTCCACCCCCTGCTGCTGGGATCCAAACCCTACCGGCCACTTTCAGGACACACTGTCCCTCACAAACTGTCAGCCCGGTCCACTTTCTTGACCTGACTCTGACTCTGACTTTCACCCTTCACTTGGCCCCCTAGCCTAACCCACTGAATGGGCAAATAAGCCCTGGACATCGCCCCTCAGCATGACAACATGGTAGCTCCCTGATCCCCCACTGCCGGTCTTGAGTGTGCCTAGCTGGGCCTGCCCCAGGGTCTTTGTGCTTGCTGTTGCCCTGTCTGGAAGCCCTGCCCCAATCTCCTGCAGGGAGCCTTACGCAGACAGCCCACCTCCAACATCTTACCCTGTCCCCACCATAAACCCTGATGTTAGGTTTCACCACTGGGACTGGTGCCTACCGTCCACCCCTAGGCTATGCGTGCCCAAGAACAGGTGCCTAGGACAGAGCCTGCAAAGAACAGGTGCTCAGTCTTCTTGCATGCACACCTCCATTTAATCCCCATGGCTACTGCCTGAGTCAGCAGTGAATTGAGCCCCACAGGATGCTCAATTCACAGCAGTCTGATCTTGGTCACCTCAACATGAGTCCTGCAGGACCCCGGGGTGGGCAGTCCCTGCACCTCCCCCAGCCTTGTGCCCTCCAGTCCTCGTAGGTCTCCGGCTTTTTTAAGCCCCTGTTGTTGGCACAGACAACACTTCCTGCAAGGGACTCCCTGAATGTCTGCCCTCCACATGGCCTCAGCTCTGAGGACCCTTCCTGCCCAGCTCCCAGGCCCTCCTGCTGCTTTCCCGGGCCCAGGAGGTTCCCATGCTGTCACCGCCTGTGCCCTGTTCCCCAGATCATGATCTGCACAGTGCTGACCTAGAACGGGCACAGAGTACAGGCATTTGTCACCACATGCAGCGGAACCCCTAGGGACCTCAGAAAGCCCTCCCTCCCGGGAAACACAGCCTATGCTAGCTGGGATGGGGGCCCATCTCAGCTGGCATAGCTCCTGGTGCTAAGAACTGGTCCATCTCACTCAGCACAAAGCCCACTTTCTCACCCATCAGGCCCACAAAGGGGCTGTGCCCAAGCCATGTGCCCTGGCCCACTCCCCAGAGCACTTTTGGCCTATCTGGGCCTCAGCCCCTTCGGGGCTCCCTACCATGGTGGCCATGGCTAATCCTCCCGTGTATCTGTCTGTTTTGATTTGCAGCAGGCAGGGAAGTGGGATTAGGCGTAGCTTGGCTCAGCCAAGAGGAAGCACAGCAGGTGCTGCCCTGGCAGAAGGTGCTGCCCAGGTGGGAGCGGCTGCCTGCTGCTCCCCAGACCTTGCATACATGTGGGCCAGAGAAGGACCTGCACAGAGGGATGCCCCACCTGTCAGCTGCCCCTCTGCCTTAGTTTCCCCACTGGCAGAAATTAGAGCCCATAGTTACCTTCTCAGGGGCTGTGGAGGGCAGTGGAGCTGGACATCCCCAGAGGATCAACCCTATGACTTTCCCCAAAGACCTCAGACACACCCTGAAGCTCTCCATGCTGCCACCACCATGAAGATAGAGCAGAAATCACGCGCCCCCCATGGCCCTCTGTGAGAACCACGTGGCTGCTCCCTGTCCAGCACTAAGAAGCTCCCAAGGGTGAACACTGCTTGCCACCCCAGCCAATATGGTACGGTGGTGTGGATCCCATGAGAGCATGGCAGGCTGGGAGTCACCATGCTGTAATCAAACAGATGCCTTGGGGGAAACGAAGCCTCCTAGGCTTCCTGAGGCCACCCAAAGGTTGAACCAAGCAAGTGACAAGGATCTATGGTTCATATTAACCTTTCATCCAGGTAATAATCCAGCATTTACTGTGGTTGTGAGGTGGCTCTAGCTCTTGACTGGAGAGCAATGATCACAGCTTGTAAGGACCATGCTTTCAGAGGATCTCATGCCCTGGTGAGGGCACAAAGTTTCAGAAACAGGCCCCAGACAGGAAATAGAAAGGCTTTGTGACTGGAGGCTCCCGGCTGTGTCCCTGAGAGACATGAGGGACTCAGGCAGGGGGCAAGGGCCTTGCAGAGGAGGGAAGCATCTAGACAGGTGAGGCTGGAGTGTAGAAGGCCTGTCACTGCCAGCCAGTCACCGGGCCACGCCCAGTGGGGAATCAGAGTGCCACCCACGAGGATGGCCCAGGAGGGGCTGAAGGGAAGGCTCCCTCATGCAGGCAGAACCATGACTACACCAGGGGAAGGCAGGTGGCAGCTGGTAGGGTTTGGGAACCTGCCCAGGATGCCCCTGCCCAGCCTGCGGCCAGCAGAGGAAACCTGAGCTCAGGGAATGGGGCACTAATTCACCCTAGGTGCTGTTCCTCAGCCTCGCCATATTCAAGGCTGAAGGGCTCCTCAAATATTTGACTACATTGTACTGGCTTGAGAAAGAATTATATAGCACAGTTTATTTTTTATCTATTCCAGATAGAATGTGTTTTATCTTATTCACCACTCTATCTGTTCCTGTCCTGGGTGGAGCCGGGAGCCTCAGAGAGGCTGAGCCACAGGCCTTCTCCTTGGGGTGCTCACAGCCTAGCACCTATCCTGCAGCCCTCCTACCTCTGCAGGTGGCCGTGGCCCCTTCACCCCAGCTGTACACCCGGAGCTCCAGGTCGGACGGTTCCAAGTCACCCCCTTTGCAAGAGCCTGAGATGGAGGCCCAGGGGAAAGAAGATCCTGCTGTGAATCCCCAACAGGGAGCGGGCAGTGTGGAAGGCTGGGGAGGAGGTGCACGATTCCAGAAGGCCACCAAGTCAAACTCCACCTGGGCCCAGTTCCCAGGAGGTTCACTGCAGGGGGGGTTGAGGGGTAGTGGCACCCCGGGGACAATACCTTACTGTTCCACTAGCAGCAAATTAACCTCAGCAGCTGTGACCGCAGAGCCAGCCCTAAGGGACATCCAGTGTGTTATCGGACATCATTGCAATATCTCCACAGCCAGGTGCCCTGGGAACACAGAAGAATGCAGGTGGCCTGCCAGGGCCGAGGTCAAGACCTCAGCAGGAGGTTCACGGGCGGAAGGAGCAGCTCCAGGGGCTCAGACAGGCAGGGCCTAAAGCAGGGCACAGGCTTTGACCTAGAGATGCAACCTTTGCAGTGTCAGGTCCCTCTCATCAGGCTGGGCAGTACAGGTGACCAGGTGACCAGCCCTCTGAGTCCAGCAGAGGCAGGGCCAAGACAGGAGCAAGTGTTGATATGGTGACAGTCTCCCCAGCCCACAGGAGCACCAGTCTGCTTCCCTGGGAAGTCGAGGAGCATTAACAAGACACGCTGTGTCTCACACAAAGAGCATGTGGATGGCTGCAGGGGCCCTTGGGGTCCAGCTCCAGGTGGCTGCAACAGGAAGCTGTCATAAGCAGAAGCTCCAGGGCACAAAAGGAGCATTGGAATGTCTCACAGGACCTAGGATCCACTGGATCTGTACACTTAACTTATCCCACATATAAAATGACGTGAGGACCTGAAAAGTTTTGTTGGTCTGGAAAAATCATTATACAGAAAAGGGGAGGAAGTTGGGAGTTAGTCTTTAATGAGGACAGAGATTCAAAGTGGGAAGATGAGGGCTGGGGATTTGGTTCAGTGATTCCAGCACCTGCCTCGCAAGAGAAAGGGACCGAATTTGATCCCGATACAAAAAAACTAAAAAAAAAAACCAAAAAAACAAAGTGGGGAGTTGAGAACTTTCTGGAGGCAGATGGTGGTGATAGTTGTACAACAGTGTGAATGTACTTAATGCCCCTAAACTGTGCACTTAAACATGTCTAAGACGGGATATTTTATGTCATGTATTTTATGCCAAGTAAGAGAATAGATTTTTAAACAGAAGACCAAGTAAATGTCATTGGCAATGGGACACAAGCTGGCTGAATACTTTTGTA